TGAGGCTCCACTTTGTCTTCACCCTGATCTAATCCACGTCGGAATGACCATCTCTGCAAAATGAAAATGAGGCCGGAAATCAAATGACCTGCCTGTTTGTTGCAGCTGCATGGACGCACATGTGATTTGAGAAATGAAACTCCACTTGGAACAAAAACTAGAGGCCAGAGCATGAAATTGGGATTTGCATTTGGTGGAGGAATGTTTCCGGTCAACATATGTTTTCCATAAAAAACGAAATGCATTTATTGTAAAAATGATTGGTAGTGTCTCTCTCTTATTATTCACTAAAGATGCTATCAAGTTGCATTGTGGGATAATAATCGAGACTATAAATCTCTTGTTAATTTCAAACAGCCCCGACTTTATAGAAGTTAAATCTATTAATAATAACACTGGAGTATCACATTTTGGCAGATATGCTTCTTTGCAGAGAGTTAATAAAAGAGCTTATAGACAGATATTGAACCCTTTAAACAGAGCCAGGCTAGCTGTTCCTTATCAGTGCTTTCTTACAACTAAATAGTTTTCAAGATGTTGAACTGGTCCTTGTTAACAACCTCGACCCAAACAGTGTGAGGTCAAAAACTACAAAAAAAGGTTAACCTTTGACCCATCAGGACAAACAGTGCCCCTACAGCACTGTCACAATTAGAGGATTCACTGTACTCCAGGTTGTGTGTGTTTTTTACAGAAGACAGTATATCACTCGCTTTTTTAAGTTCATGCGGAAACTAAGCAGTCGCTAACAGGGACACACGACATATTAGCCCAACTTTTCCCTGCAGTTCACAGCAACCCAACACCCCTGACACAAGCTCACCCCCGCACCCCTGGCTGCCAAGCAAAACACCTGGCATCTGTAGGAGAAGGGCGCCAATGTCACAGTCACTGCCAGGCGGTCAGCTGAGCCTCACACACACACACACACACACACACACACACACACACACACACACACACACACACACACACACACACACACACACACACACACACACACACACACACACACACACACACACACACACACACACACACACACACACACACACACACACACACACACACACACACACACACACACACACACACACACACACACACACACACACAGTGATAGTGTGTAAGACAGCAGTGAAAGCATAGGAAAGGTTTGCGTTAGAATGAGATCTTAAACAAAGATATGAGTGTGTGCGTGATGGACAGCTCAGTCTGGACACACACACACAAAATATTTGTAACTACATATCACATGCTCAACCGCACTGTGTTAACTTGCATGCCGATTTGTGCTGTATGCATGTCAAGTGTTGGACAAAGTGCATACATATAATTTCATATGGTTCCAGTGTCTGCCTCACAGTGATGCATTTCCCCTGTTGCATGCTTCCTTTGCTTGGCTGCAGTTGTGTGTGTCAGAGGCCAGGCCGGTGCTGATAGCCTGATGGATGGGGTCCAGGGGTCACGGACTTCAGCTGTTGCCGGCCACAGCACAAACCCAGTGAACCGCACTGCTAGCACTTGGTTAGCATCACCGGCACGGCAGAACTTCTTAGGATGTATCTCCCCGGGGAATGGGAAAGCTGAGAGGGTCCAGGGAGATATTTAAGGAGAAGATTTGGAAAGTTTGGAATGCTGGCAAGAATGTGCAACCTAGATGCAGGGTGATGGTGTGCAAGCGTCGGACACATCATCATGTATTTTCAATTGAGTTATATATTGCAGCCCAATCCAATTGTTGTCTTTGCTTCATTATAAAAACAAGTTGTTTCTCTTCTCTTAAATTGGACCGGTGATTCCTCCACAGAACCTAGTTGACGTTTGGTCTATGGTTTATTTCAAGTAACATTTGTTGACTTCTTGTTCTTTACAGAATATTTTCTTTGTATGCAACCTGGCATGGCGGAGAATTCTTTGATGATGAGAATAGGCGCTTGTGTTCATGCTCGTAGCTTGTGAGTATAAATAAGACTTAAGAGGTTACAGATGCAGGAATATGACCAGCAAATAAAGAACCCTTTTTTCAGGAGGGATGCTCATGTTGCATCCAAGGTATGTTTGATTAAAAAGACATTTTAAAACAGAGTTATAAATGTTGTGTATGGCACCACCTCACCACGTTCCACTATATGAGAAGGGGTAGTAGCGTCTCTGCAGAGAACAAAGGGAGTTTTATTTGATGAAGGATTGTACAGGATGTGATGTTCCAGGGGCTCAGTGACCCTGCCCAAAAATCGAAAAAGAAATCCAGCTTTTTCCCCCAATAATGGGATACATGAACCTTTCATTGTTGCCACAACGATGTCATCAGCTCTGCAAAGGGCTGCTGTGCCAGGAGCGGCGACCACGGTTGCCATGGCGACAGTTTAGTGTAAGAGATGCTGTGGTGTGTGTGGGCAAAGAGAGAGGCAGCCGGGAAGCCATCGCTGCTTTTTAGGGTAAATGTGTTGTAAATGAACATCGACTCAGCGAAAAGGAAGAAGACATTAAGTAAAAATGGATGTCTTAAACACAGCACAAGGTGAAACCAAGCAAGAATATTGCACAGGATATGAAATTATTTTCAATATCGGCCCGAGTGTGGAAATTCAATTTCACAGCTCGTGAACAATATCAAACAAACATGCTGGCTGAAAGAGCACACTCCAACTTGAGTGATACTGCATCAAAAGGCTACACAGCAGACATAAAAGCCAATGAGGTGGGTGAAGGGCAGGCTAACGGCTAACGGCAATCCATAACTCCACCCAATCTCCATATTCAGGCCGTTTAAACTGCACATTAGCCACCAGCTATTCCCATGGCCTGTCTCAGACCTGGGAGGGGAGGCGGGCCGCTTTCTAATGAACTGTATAATTAAATGAGGGGCTGCGCTCGGCCCGCTCCCACTGCTCTCCATTCCCAGACCATGATGCCTTTAACGAGCGCTGAATTGAAATGAATGGCGGCAGGTGAAGGACAGAAGGACAGCGGGCTAATGCAGTGGAATGTGCCTTTAATGAAGAGGATACAAGAGATTGGGGGGGGGCAACGTGAGCCGAGGTCACTGAGAGCACTCACCCATACCTTCACTACTGTATCCCCCCCCTCCATCTCTCTCTGTCTATCTTTTTGGGAGCTGTGTGGGAGAGATAAACGATGCTGCGCTCCGCTTTGCCCTCCCCAGAGCGCCCCTTTTGATTGACACATGCTAACAAGCTAAGGTGTTCGACAGGGGCGCCGGCAGAATAGGTAATGCTGCGAGAACATAACCGGGGGATTCTCCCACAACCCGCGGTTCATGACAATCGACTGGGGAACAGCCTGTGCTTCTGCGTCAAGAATCGGGGCTTATGAAGTGTCAAATTAATTCAAACTCATAACACAAGAAGGAAATAGGTGGGTCTTCAAAAAGAAGAATCGAGGAACTTCGACTAAAGGCGGATGAATAGACAAAAAGCTTCTAAGGAGGGGTGTTGATTTCATGCTAAGGGAGGAAAGGTTGCTGATGCTAGGCATGAACATATGTCTGTCAGCGAATCGAGGGCCGCGTCCATCTGAGCGTGTGTGTCATGTGGTTGAACTAAATGACCGTGAACAAAGTGCAGACACTCACAAGACACTCACACACTGAGTACACAAGATGTGTTAGAGCCAAGCACGGCTGACAGTGATTTCTGTGCTTTTGTTTAATGGACGTTAAACGCAATTAATACTGCGATGTTCCGTCCGTGCTTTGTTTATCGTCTCTGGCAGCAAACTGACCACAGGCACTCGGAGGAGGCTGTTTACTGCGAATAGCTATTCTTTAAAGTACGGCGGACGGGCAGTGAAGGCAGCTTAAGTGCTGTGAGATGTGTTGCTCTCAAGAGTGAACACATCGCTCATGTATAGGAAACACTGCCATAGTTATAGATGTAAATAACAGGTGGGCTCTCCCTGTCCTGCAGTGTGTTCTATAGGTCTCAAATCCCTGTTGCCTCCAGAGGGAGTTTCTCTCCCCCACCAAACCCTAAGGAAAGCAAGTGAGTGGACCTTTGGTGAAAATGTTTATTTTGGGATCGATTCCTTCTTCCTGTTAGTGTGTTCTCTTAGTTTAAATAGCGCATAAATGCAACGTTTTCATCAGCTGACAGTCAAACGTTACATACTGGAATGTCTTTGCACAGCTTAGGCATTACCATAGCGTAATGCCATTACCGTGGCATTGTTACGCCTTTGGTCATCATCAAGCTACGCTACATGTGACTGTTAATGAACACAAAACCCTCTTTTTGAAGTATGGAAATGTGCTTTGTGTCATCACAGGATGGCCAGCAGACAGCGGCTGTGTGTTTTCCTTTTTATTGTTTATCCAGCTTATTGTAATGCTGTTTTTAATATGAACAGAAGTGGGTTATAATAAGCATTTGTTTATTTGTAACTCAGCTTGAAGGTTACTGTATGGGAAATAGTTCATTGTCCAAAAGCATCTTTAGGTTTGATGTCTATTTCAAATCAGACAGGGGTGGTGGGGGGGGGGGGTCAGAGACGAGGTGGATCAGCAGCTCCTTGTTGGCATTGATGCTAATTAAACACTAACTGATAGTAAAAGCCTTCTCCACACTCTAATTATTCCCCATTTCAAGTCTAATTTCACCAATCAGTGCCATCTTTATTTCTGAGAGCAAATTGGGCACTAATCATTTTCTAGTGGAGCTTTCTCTGCCTCTAATTGTTGAATATGATTTATCCATTATCAGAACGCCTGCTACTCTTATCAGTCATCTCACAGGGCCAATGTATCTGGAGATTGTGCTCAGAGAAATTAAGCTGAATATTTTTAATGAATTTTTAAAGTGATGACTCACAGCCTTGCCGCAGTTTGACTGGGTATTTTAAATATTCATAATCTGGATAATTACTTAAATGAAACAGAAATAGGATGACATGATTTAGTGCGGCTCAAAGACTGAATTTCAAAAGTGTTTAATGCAAAATATTTGTATTTAAAAAAAGATCATGAATTTATTCGATAGCATGTTTAAATCCAAACACCTTTGACACTTTTAATATGTTCTAGTAGTTAAAGATAACATGTTTCATTAGCTGCACCATATATTATCTTGTGTGTGGATCAAGATTTATACATTTTATTATAATATTAAGACCACAAAAATATCACAGACTCATATACAAAGCATTTAACAAATGTACAGAAAATGTATAAGCTACGAATAATCAAAGAAAAAAAAAAGAATCAAAGTGTGACGGCAGGATGTAAAGGAAGTCGAAGAGACCAACATGAAGGACAAGAGGACACTTTGAAGGGGAGTTACTTCCTGTTTCCTGTTTTGTCGACTTCCTGTGTCTCCTGGTGCGGCTGGTCAAGGTGATCTCTTCATTTCCTCTGCAGCTTGTGCAAAACGCTGGAAAAGAGTTGATTCTACACAACATACACTAACTCTATACATCTACGCTGTTAATTGAATTGCCCTTCATTTAATTTAATAATAAAATCTATCAAAATACACATTGGCACATTCACAAAGCGCTTGCCAACATGATTATATATATGTACACACTAGTTAAAGCTGGCCAGAGTTATGACCAGATGCTTCTGAAAATAAGCCTGGTGTTAGCCTCAGAGCTGGTCTCTTCTTGTTCTTTTATCAGATAAACTAATATGTTTCTCACTTATCTGCCCTGACAGATCTGGGAACAGGTGAATCTGTTATATCTATTTCTACACTGCACCTATCAGAGGGTTCTTCCGCTTCTGGTCGGGCTGCCTGTCGTCCCTGTAGCGCTCCCCGGTGTCGGGGTGCCTCTCTGGGCTGGAGTATCGTCCCGGGTTGGCCTGCCGGTACCCATCCACTCGTCCCCCCGCGGCCTCATAGAAGTGGTCCCCTCTCTGGCCCGCGGGGGGCGGCAGGACGTCCTGCCTCACTGCGGCGCGGTGCTGCTGTTCTGCTCGGGGGGACGAGGGGTAGTAGCGCTGGTTGTTGGGCGCCTGCACACGGCCCTGGTGGGGGATGGGGTCTCTGGGCACGGGTCTGGAGTGGGTGGGGTAGTCATATGGATCCCTCCTGGAAGAGAAATATGGAAAATTAGCAAACTATAGGATTGCAGGACTTTGTGAAACACATATATAGTCTAGATCTATGGTTGAGTAAGGCAAGGCATGGCAAGGCAAGTTTATTTATATAGCACCTTTCAACACAAGGCTTTACAAAACTGAAAGACATTAAGAGCATGAAGAAATAGGTACATGAATACAAGTTACAGTGCAGTGTGCGATATTAATATATCAATTAAAAGCAGCGGCAAAAAGAAAGTATTGAGTAAGACAATATTTAATACTGGTTTAAACTGGTGTGGAGCGGAGGCCGTGCCACAGATCCCCCCCCCCCCCCTTGCGGTAAGCCTCCTCCTGTTATTCAGTTTACGGTGCGAGGCCGTGGCCTTGGCAGGATCAAGTTGTGGGGGGAACGTGGATGGAGAGATGCCAAGAGATAACAGCAAATGCCTTGGTAAGCATATATGAGGCTGTGTGTGTGTTTAGCTGGAGTGTGTAGGAATGTGTGTGAGTGTGTGTCCCAGGGGTCTGCAGTAACGAGGCAGCCAGCTGGAAGTCTCCGGTTCCCTCCCCGTAGCTCCGGGTGATTAGGGGCTAAACCCCGGGGTAAGGCGACACGCGGGACTTGGGGAGACGGTAGGAGGGAGAAAAGAGGGGAGAGTAAGAGAAAAGAAGAGAGGGAGGGCTGCTCACCTTTCAGAGGCCCATTCAAATGTTTTCCATCTTATGTGCTGTTTCCAGCGCCGGGTGACACACATATCTTATAAGCAAATCTAAAAGTGGAGGGGAAACTCTCCTATTTATAAAAGTGGTGATCTACAAGCAGCCCTGTCAACATCCTAAATTAAGTATCTTTGTAAACTCTAACAAAGACGGCATCACAACCTCTTCTAGGCCTTATATAGAAGTGGTTACAGTCACATGTAAACCAAATGCACACACCTAAAAAGTACTGGTACAAAACAGGAAGCCTTGACAGACCTAGAAAGTCAGCATAAATTCTATCATCTATTTCCTGTTTGTAAAGGTCGTTTGGCACTAAAGAAATCAAAGAAGTACACATAACAAACTGGTCACACAAGTGGCTGTAAACACATATTTGTATGCTATTGTTGGAGCAAATGCTTAAGCGTTCATTAATTGGCTACACTTCAAACTATGATGCCGCATCACTCAGCGGCAGAGCGCGGTGGAACAGATTTAGACATTTACTTCCCACCCCTCAACAATGGCTCCCACTGTAGTGATTACACAGAAGCATTGAGCTTAGCCTTCTCCCTTGTTCTGCAATCATATCCCTGCGTCTCCTCTGCTGCCGCCCCCCCCCCCCCGAGTCCAGCCTGGCACCTGTTGACTGGCCAATTAGAATGACTCACTCACCGCAGATTAGCTAGTGTGTGTGTGTGTGTGTGTGTGTGTGTGTGTGTGTGCGCAAAAGAGGACTTCCCTTGAGGATATTCGTGGACGCTGGTGACGTGGAGTTCTATATGAGTGTGTCCCCCAGATATCAGTGTGTGTTTTTTTTTCTGTGACCACCCAAACAGAGCGGTGGGACAGGATACACAGGTGGTCCCAGGAATGAACAGCGCTGTCTTGTCAGTCAACACACACACACACACACACACACACACACACACACACACACACACACACACACACACACACACACACACACACACACACACACACACACACACACACACACCACACACACACACACACACACACACACACACACACACACACACACACACACACACACACACACACACACACACACACACACACACACACACACACACACACACACACACACACGAGATAAGGCAGCATAAAGAGAGAGAAGAGAGCAGTTGTAGAGGCAGTCTGGGTAAAAACTCTAAAACGCTGGAGAGAGGCAGAGAGACGAAGGTCAAACTGCTCATTAATCCAGATTAAATGGTGAAGGCCACCAGGGGAGGCACAGAGGGAAGGAAAGAAAGGAGGATCCAGGGGTAGAGGAGGGGGAACACCTGGGTCTCTACCCGACTCAGGGCCACCCAAACGGACAGGAACCTCTGCTGGCTGCCCCATTCTTCTCTCATCACTCTCTAATCCCCCCGACTCTCTGCAATCCACAATTTCCGCTTTTTTTCTCACCGAATATTCATCTTCCTCTCCTTTTACGTCACCTCTGGTAACTGTCCCCGTAACATCCTCCATGTGCACTCTTATTTTCTCCTTGCTCATCTACAGCACTACCTTCAGCTTCTCCGAGATAATAAGGAGGACAAAGGAGCAACAATAGTTTCATGTGAGGAGTAAACCTTTGACACTTGTGGATTCAAATTGCAAGGAAATCCAAACTGAAAAGCGTAACTTTGCTATAAAAACACCCTAAATTGTTTTAATTATTACCAATTACGCACAAACCCAAAATAAATAAACCGGAGTTTGTATGAAAAGTACCAGTTTAGGTAACCTTAAATAGGTTCTTTGTTCAATTCCTTGGTGGCATGAATGAAATAGGAAACATTCCTGCAGTGCCTGGGTACATGGGTCTGGATGACCTTTGACCCTGGTGTTACATGGCTTAGTAGTCCAGGAGTAGTGGCTTTATGGGTCCTGCTCATATGGGACCACTTATCTTTTGTTATCAGACAGGAGAGTGTCTACATTTAACTGTCTTAGCAGGAGGAAGGGAAGCAAGAATCCAACGTTTTTTTTCCTTGACATTGAATTAACCCAATTAAAATGTGTAATATTATTGTTAAAACATTGCATAGAAGCAGAAATAGTGGAAGTCCTGACATATTGTGGTAACTAGCACTTGTGTGTGTGTGTGTGTGTGTGTGGGCAAGCAGCTGGGGGATTAGGGGGTCCACAGGCCTCAGTGACCCAGAGAGCTCCTCAGCCCGGGTCACACAGCTGGCTGCAGGCTGGATGAAGTGAATGTGTTCAGTCTTTGTGTTTCTGTGGGCCTCCGCTAACCTGAAGTGTCCAAAAACCAAGTCAAATGTCCAAAACCGAGCCAGAGGACGAGTGCGTGGTTGCGCTTGTATATCTAGATGTTGAGGTGAGACCTTTTAGCACTTCAAAATGTCCTCTGTTATTCCTTGTATCCTGGTGATATAGCTATTTCTCATTGGTCAGAAGAAGTAATTTACTGATAGCATTCATAAAGTGCAAAGTGATAACACTTTTATTCACCAGCAAATGCATTTCCATTCTTATTGATCATGTTATTTCTTTAAATACATGTTTTATTTGATCAAATGTAAGGTTGCTATGTAGTAAATGCCCTCTAAATTGCATGGATTTGCAACTAAATGAACAAACAAATAGCGAGGCAGAGAGGAGAGGAGGCGGCAGATGTGTCTCTGAGCCGATGTGGAGCAGCTACAGGGTGTGATGTGAGCCTCAGGGACCAGGAGAGTGCAGCGCTGTAATGACACGCCGTGTAATACATCTGACTCACACTTCCAGCACATCAGCACCATATACCTCACCCACCTCCCTCTGAGAGCAGCCTGAATATTACATCCACATGTGATTACAGTGAGAGGAAAAGTGTGATCTGGTACTGGGAGAGTGTGTGCTTCCGCCTTATGACAGTCAGGAATGTGTGTGGTGGAAGCATGGGGAATAAGGGGTGGGGGTTACACTGCACCTGCCCCTAGGAAACGGAAGGAGGAAATTAGTCATTCCCCCTCCACCCAGATTCTTATTAGAACCCCCACACTGGTCCTCCTAAACAGCTGGAAATGTGTCTCCCACCAATACCCGTGTTTAAGCAAAGATGTTTCATTGAGAAAAAGCACTGAAATATTATATTTATAACAAACCTTTCTAGAGCCGTAAAGAACACCTTAAACAATGAACATGTACCGAGTACTACTAACCTGCTCTGCCTTCAGTTTCAAGTTTAAGACTGTTTGTATGTGTGTTGGTCTGCTTTTGTTCCCACACATTTCATTCATTAATACGAGAACATACAGATGCAGCACCGAGGCATATGTGAGCACATCTGCCAGCGATGTGCTCACCTGTTAGCCAACTGACGAGCAACAGACACGCGTTGCATGCACAATGAAATAATTGCTCTGCAGAAAAGCAGCTGCTGCACTTCACTGCCAAACACTCCCACACACACACATTCATCTGATGTGTACACACACTTTTCTGGGTAAATTGTGTCATAATTTATAGAGATATCAGCTGGAAATGTCTTCATTTATTCAAAATTCAAAGTCTATGGTTTCTTTGAGATTAGTTGAAGACAGAGATAAAACATAGTCATGAATTATTGTTTATTTAAAAATATGTAATACGATATGTTTAGAAAATACTCATTAGTGAATGATGCATTCTCCAGATTCCCCAAATTCATCTTTGTCCTAACCCTGCACACTCACACTCACACTCACACTCACACACACACACACACACACACAGTCGCTAATGGCGCTGTGCTAGCTGAGTGCTACGGACACAGAGCAGGCCCCTGGCTCCACTGCAGAGGAAACCATTAGCCACTCTGCCCCGGCCGCGAGGCCAGCGCTGCTAATCAAACCCCGCTATGTCAACAACAGTGCAGTGGAAATTGGCTCTCACCAACACACATGTGCCTGGTCTAAATGGGCCCGTGTTTACGCTCTCTGCTACTACCGAGCGGTGACGAGGGATGTGAAGAGTAGCAGGGCAGGTAGCAGAGGGGACGGATAGAAAGGGAGGCTTTCTGTTGGAAATGAGAAGGTGAGGAGAGACAAGAGGCAGCAGGACATCAGTGTGTAAACTTAGAATAGCTGCTCTCATAAAGCTCAGAGGACTCATTCATGCTTTAGTGATGTCATGCTTTTAGTCCAGTCCGCAGAAAGACGTCCGGTCAATTTAACTTCAGCTGTGAACAACAAACATCCATGATCAATGGTGGCTGAAATGCCCGGAGCGCAAAAGAAGGGAAGAGGTAAGAAACCAAAGGATCGCTGCACATTGCACCTTACACATTCTATGTCTTTGCACCACATTTAA